TATATATATAAAATATTATATAATATATATATAAAAATATTATAAAAGTATGCACTTGTATCAAGACTTGTTTTCATACGCTTATAAATAAATAAAAATAAATCTCTATAATATATATCGGATAGATAATAGTGTCTTCTGTGAAAAGACTTCTCGATGTTCAAGAAGTAGGATGAAAAACTGTATAACTATTTGAAGAAACTTCCGAATTCTAATGTAAGAATATTAATAGCGTAATACAAATATAATATTAATAAAATTTTTTTCAAAACGAAAAAATGTTATTTTTCTTGTAATAATGTAACAATTACTTTAAAGATCATTAGCTTCTCATTAGTTATCTTTTTCTGACATTTCAACAAACCTGATAATTTACTGAATTACAGATAACAAAATTAGAATATAAGAGACTTCTTTTTAGTTGAACTTCTTGCGCGATTCATCTTTTTTCTTTTTTCCTTTAATATGGGGACAAAAAGAACAAAAATGAATCATACACAGTTGAGTCAAAAAGGATTTACGAGACATTTTTCTTTGGTTGAAATCTATGAGAGGGGGGGGGACTAATCAATTGTCATTTTAAATAGAGAATAAAAAAAATAAAATGGTAATCAGAAAATATTTGTATCATTTAATTAAATGTTTACAAAAATACCAAATATCGCCAAATATTATTGAGCTTTATTTAAAGAATTAACATCTTTTTAAACAAAAAATTAGGGTTTTTTAAATTTTTAAAATATATATCGTTTAAGAATGTAGCATTTCGAAAATTTTTATAAACATTTAATTAAATACAAATATTTTCAATCATTTTTACTTTATTTTATACATAAGTACTTTATACATAAAAACTGTCAAATGTTTTTTCTTTATTAAAAATTACTTTGTTTTGTTTATTCCTTATGCGTTTAAAAATGACAGCTGATCAGTTTCAATTTTCCAGAGGACATTCTGTTATAATACTAGCCAATTTATTATTGAAAGGCAGTAATTACTTATTTGGAGTAAAAATGCTATATATTTTAACTTTTAATATTTAAGCTAACTAATTAATTACTGTCTTTCAAGTATTAAATTGATCAGATCAGTATCAGATTTCTACAAGAGTTTCAGACGGTTCCTGCAAAAATATCTAAAACATTTTAAGTTTTGTATTTCGATTTTAGACTTTTGTTGCCCAAAGAAAAATTCACGGACGACAACGCGAAGCGATGCGATGCGACGTTCTCGTGAAAGAGTGCGATATATACACGAGTCCGTCCGTCCGTCTGCGCGCGCGACGGAGAGACGGAGTCGGATGGACATGCGGCATGCGGCCGCATAGGGTCGTGCACTTGATATTGAAGCGGCTTC